CATACCACGACTGCTACGCGCTGTCTTCACATGATACGTTAGAGGAGTGCTACGATCGCTCGACTTGGTTTTGGATTCTACGTTCTCTATATTGCACTATTGCGAGCGTCCTTTGGAAGCCATGCATTGTGTCACGTCTCTCAATTGTGCCTGCAACGCCCGTTGTTGTTGTTCGACCACGTCGGTCGACACATATTCGTGCATCCAAGCAGCTCGGACTGGCGCGCACCCAGAGAGCGTGGAGTGACATGGATGAAGTCGCGTCGGACGTGTGCAACGCCCACTGTGCCAACATGGGCCGCAGCCATGTTTACCCGCAGTGGTTGTTCCACATGGAGTTTGGAATATATTGTAGCTCTACTACTTGGATCGATACATGTATACGGCTTGATAAGCTTGCTTGGCACAAACCACGTGTCTGATCAAAGGCAGACGTCGTGGCCACTGCACGGGCAAGAAGACAGCGATAAAGGGTCGCACAAACGACCGGATATGAGCAGGAGCCCTAGACATGGGCGAGTATGATGCGAGTCGAAACAAAATGCGCCGTTATATATGTATCCTTGACTAGTGTAGCAGCAACGTGGCCTTTCAGGTGTCATTGTGACGCCATCGGCTCTTCGTTCGAGTTCAGATGGAAGCTTCTTCGTGTGATCCATATTCCACCTCGGCACTCACTGCATCAGCTTTTGTGCCTCGGCATGTGGGTTGTTGGAGGTTAGGAGGTGCTTCGCGATCCTTAAAAACCACTCCGACCTGCGGACCTTCGTAGCGGTCGTACGCCGAGCCCGCTGACGCCCAGAAACAACCGGTTAGTCAAACCGGCTAGACTAGTTGATTGGTCTCTAGTCAGTTATCGCTTGGTTATCTTTAATTATTTGGTTCTGGTCGTCGCACATCTTGTTTACACACTCCTGCGTTGTTTGTCTTGTTCCCGCAGCCCCATGGGCTTCCTGATCATGACTGTTTGGGCCGATACTATGGTGGTGCTCACAGACAACCCCGGAGGAACGCCACCGAGCTCGAGCGACATGGCGCCAAGAAGCGAAGAGTAGATAGGTCGTCGGGTGCAAAGAGGCCGATATCCGGCGGCGTCGGCTTGTCTTCTTTAGCGCCTCGACGCAGCCGTCGAGGTCTGCTTACACTATTTGCGGAAGGCAGCGCGCTCTGCCTCTTCGTTCAGCCGCTCGTCGCGCCGGACCTTCCCGATGTTCGCGCGCGACCACACCACTTCTTGTGCTGGATCCGGCTCGTTTGGAACTCGATCTGAAATTGATGCTCCTTTCTTGATTCTTTCTAGCCAATCACAAGACTTAGATCACTTTGTCTTAAATAGTGTGAGCACCATTCGGTGCAACGACGAGAAGCAGCCCACAGACACGCCAACGCCACGTAGCAGCCGGGTATACCGCTCCACACAATTCTTGAATGACGTACATGTCGTTTCCGACGCTGCACGTAGCGCAATCACGGGCAAATCCATTTTTCATTTTTTTAGCTTGCCCAAATACTTCACGTGACATCGCGGGGTTCCAAAGCTCCAAGGACCGTAAAACTGGCTGCCACAGTTGGCGATGGGTCTCGACCCGGTGTGTGACCAGCTTGTTGGTCGCCGTCGTTGCTTGGGCACTCACACCAAACTCGAACTGCCGAGCGTCGGTTTTCAGGAAATTCGACATGCAATTTCGGCTGGAAATGCGTCGAAATTGCGGGAACCGAGGACGCCGTCTCTTTTGGTTTATGTTAGAGAGCGTGCTGCATGTGGCCGAGGGAGGCAAAGTGCGCGCGATACCGCTGTGTGATGAGGCCTTGTATCCCGTACAGTATTTCAGTATAGCGAATAGACACACTATATCAAAAAGTTGTTTGCCGCTGTCATTTGCTCTCGCTACAGAGCTCGCGCGGCGACGTCACATAGCATTTTGGACTCCCCAAAATGTGGTCAAGCACTCTGGCAAGTATGGGCGATTTCATTTTCAAACTTCATTCTGGCCGATTCGCCGGCGCGGCGAGCCTGTGTTCACCAAAATATGGTTATTTATGGTTGTAAATGGCGGGCGCCAATACTAATGACCGGCGACGCCATAAAGACGACGCCGAGGCTCCTCAGGCACCACTGGCGCTGCTGCATGGTGCTCGAGGAGACTCCATCAGCATTCTCTACGCCATCATAAAGCGTCGCTCGGTCGCAATGCAGCGTTCCTCGTCAGTCTCCCTCATTTTCGTCAACACCGGGCAAAAGCGTTTCAGCCAATCAGAGCGACAAGACGTTATATTTGTAGCCAATCAGAGCGCCAAGGATTTCGCTTTCGAGCCAATCGCCAGTGTTCTTGAAGCAGTTCTCGAACCGGTGATCCCCGCCAGCCCAACGTGGTACGTGGCAAGCCGTGCGCAGGCCTCAGGCCAAGGCGCTCACGCAACGTCGCTGTAGGTATGGCGCAGCCTATCTATGCGTGATGAGCCACCGAGTCGGCCCTTGGGCGGAGCCCAGGCCAATTTGTCGACGGCCTCTCTCCACGTCGGCCACGGGATCGCCTCCGAGATGCCCTCCTCCAAGCTCCCAAGACCTGCGACGACGCTGCGAGAGATGGCGCGATATGCCTAGCATCATGGCCGCCGCGACGTCATGCGCTTGCGCGTCCAGAACGGTTAGCGCTACGGCCTCATCCGATCCGACGGCGCGTCCACAGCAAGAGCGGCCAGTCAAAGCACATATCGAGCGGCATGGCGGCGACGCCAGCTTGTGTGTCCAAAACCAAAAAAAAAAATGGCGCCAAATAAGATCTCGTCGAACCCAAGCGTGCAAAAGCCTACACTCTTCCTCGTCTGGGCGTCTGGGCTCTCGGCGATGAGCAATGAGGTTGCGCAGATTTTTTTCGAAGCGAAGGATCGACATTCTAAAGCAACGCAGCCAGTTTAGCTGGCACAACGTCGCTGTGTTGGGGTCGAAAACATCATGTGGAGAATCACGCATACAAAATCGTATACAGTCCCTCATGCGATCGCATTGCCGGAAACATAATTCATGCGCCCTACACCGTTTCGGTGGCCTCGCTGCATTGGTATAACGCTTTGGTGAGAGCGCTCAGCGCCTGACTACGGAGAGCGCTCAACGCCTCGTGTCAACAGTGGTGTTTTGTGTGTGCCAGTCGCAGTGGGAGGGCTCATTCGAAAGCCCCGTATCCAAATACGCCTCTCGAGAGCGCTAGAGCTCGGTTGCAATACATCCGAAAACTGCGATCCCGTTGCCGGTGTCATCGAGCGCAGGCACTGCGCACTATCGACCGACGCCACTTAACCCTTAATGCTCGGCACAAAGTACATATATGCAATAGTTGTATTGAACAGAAAACATGCGGGTGAGTTAACAAAGCTGGAGTTTAGCCTGTGGGGGCGTCCAGGGAACGCCATACGTGCACCAAGAGCGCCGTGCTCACGAGCAAAAGGCCCAGGTTCCCAAGCCCAACGACGTAGTCGCCGCCGACGACGCTGCCCGCGGTGCCCCACATGGCGCCCGTGAGTCGACCCGAGTAGTTGGAGAGCTGAATGACGATCGCGGCCTTGTCCGAGAGCGCATCGGGCAGTGTTTTGGTCAAAAGCGAGAGCGTGATCGTGGACCCGAGGTTCATGCCCCAGCAAACGAGGAACCAGCTGAGGCCGAGTGTTACCGACGTCGGGTGCACCAGCGTACATTGGTGCACGATTGTACCGGCGAGCGCAAGCCCAAACGCAGCCGCGAGCACGAGGCGGTCGGGACACCTCTTCGTGTAAAACGAAAGCGGTAAAATCAGTGCAAAGCTCGCAAATCCACCAATCGCAATCAAGACGCCCGCATCAAAGCTCGTCCACGCCCACGCAGCGTCAATGAAAACCGGAATGTTCGATTCCCATGCGCCGAGCTCGAAAAAAATGGTCAGCGACCCGAGCGCCATGGCCAGAACGGTCCACCGGCGGCGACGGTCCAAATGCGATAGTTTGGCCTGTGCAATGTCGTGCAAGTCGCCTTGCGTGCGCGGCGGCGCGTCGACAAAGAGAATGCGAGCGACGAGCCAATAGACGAGCCAGACAAACGCCATGAGCCACCCGGGCGCTGTAAAAGCGTTCCACAGGCCGGTCGCCGGCGCGTACTTTGCCAGGAAAGCGCCCAGCAGGGGCCCACCGACCATACCAAGCGTCTGCGCTGCCACGAGAAGGTTGGCGCACATGGTGCGGCGACGGTAGCCCACAAGTCGCGGGTCGGTACAGTAGCGCTTCACAAAGAGCCAGCCCGTGAAGCCAAGGCCGTTGACGAGCCGGCCGACGAGCAGGAGCCCAAGCGAGTCGAGCGCATGCGCGAGTGCGTACAAGAGGTGACCGAGCACGAGCGTACTTGCAGCGAGGTGTAGCGTCGGCATGTAGTAGTCGCGAAAGCAGAGCACGTGCTGGAGCGGCACGAGCGACAGTGCCGAGGTAAGCGTGATGCTGCCAATCACGAGGCCCGAGTAGAGGTCCGTGGCCCCGAGGCTCCGCGCGTACAATGTGGCCGTGGGCACAATGATGTAGAACGAGACGTTGAAGAGAAAGTTGGCGACCAGAATGAGCCCGAGCGACGGTGTTGGCGGCAGCTTGTTCTCGTCGTCGTCGTTTGGAGCTGTCGAAATGTCGTTGGTACTCGGGCGGGCGGTCGACGCTGGCGTAGCGAGCACGTGCAGTTCGTACGGTGTTGCTCGCATGTTGATGGAAGAATGCCATCGTCGCCACACGAATTGCAGCGTACCGAATACAAGCCCACTTGAGGTAAACGGATCGTTTACCGTCTAGGATGATGCGCATCTGGTGAGCAAGCGATAATAAAAGCAATAGAAAGCAAGCATTAAAAGTACCTGTAACAACACATAGATACAGCCAATGTGATGATAGAGTATCAAGTTGTGGACTGCCACGTCATGTCGGACATATCTGTCGTGGCCAAGTCAAATTGGTTGTGTTGTCAATGGGGTGTACTATAGCCTAGATGATGCTTTCTCAGCAGAAGCACCGCCGCTTTGAAAGACACGGACGACCACCAAGTACTGTACTTGTAGGTATCAACTGGGAGGAACAATGGCCGGACGAGTGGGGCGACAGCATCTGTACCATAGCTTTGTTCAAGACCCCGAGTAACCGAGTCTCCCCTGGCTTCAAGAGCAACACGAGTCGCCGCGTCGGCATCATGTACTGCTTGTCGAGCGCTCATCGAATGCAGCCGCGTTGTTAAACCAAGGATGTCAGCGTACTCGAAAAAAAGGTTCTACGGGAATCGGGCGTGGAACGTGCAAGACGTTGCTAATTAGTCATACTGTCGATGCATACTCTAGCATGATTTTGAGGACTCAATAATGCGGTGGCGTCATGGCCGAGCGCCGCGCGGGTCGTCGCGCGGGCATTGGCGTCAGTGTACGTGTCGGCGTCGGTGTCGGTGTCGGTTCGTCTGATCGGCGGTAGGGCGTCGACGGCCCTTGGTTGTCTCGGATCAACTCGTCCGGTGCTTGGCTACTTTCTTGTCCCTTGGTCGAGTCCATCGTTGGTAAATGCAAAGTGACGTGGTCGTGACCACTGCTTCTGCTTCAACATGCATTCTGCTCGAGACATGACACGCATTCATGATCATCATTCTGCCGTTTAGAAATCGCTCGCTTGGCCTGTTTTACAGCAGCGACTGTAGGGTCGATTGCACCAACGCAAACGCAGGCTGCTGGATACACCACTGCATCTTGGCGCGCGCGTCTTTGGCCTCCGCATGACCAACCACATCCTTGACTAGCGCCTGGAACAGCAGCCGGTCAGTGGATTTAAAAGAGACAAAGTTACCAAAGTACCTTGGAGGGCGACTGGAGCAGACGCAGCCAGACCTGCTGCTGGCGCTGCGAGGCCGCAAGCTCCGACGCACCCAAGCAATAGCGAGCAAGGTGGTGGGTGGCCACAGCATACAGGTCCTTGCCGCGGGTCGCGGTGATTGTCTCCGAGACGACGCTACCCACGTACGCGTCGAGCATCTTGCTGTCGGTCGTCGCTAGCAGCGACAACACCAGTGCGGTTGGCACCTACACAGAACATTCAAAGAACTTTCCTTCTTGGCTGTCGACGCACCGTGACGAGTGCGAGGCCGCCGTTCGTGCTAAGCTCTGACCACAGCCAGAGGCGGAGCTCCAGCGGCAGCGACGGGTGCAAGCAGAGTGTTACGATCGCGCTGAGGCCCACGTCGCCGTACGACGCGCCGCAAAAGACTTGAAGCAGCGATTCGATAAACGACTGAACCAGCGCGGGTTCCTTGCCGAGCTCGCACGGCTTGTAGCACTGCACGACGTAGCTCAGCGCCTCGTGCCATCCATCGGCCGCCACCGCGTCCAAATAGTGCGCCACAAGGGCCTGGAGCGGCGTCGCGACTGCAGGCGACAGCCAAGCATCCGTCTCGAGAAGGTACACGTGGCTGAGATGCACCAGCTTGTGCGCCGTTGGCGTCGAGGCGAGCAGCGCCGGCGAGCTATGCGACATCATGCTGTCAGCGATCCACGTTCACGATGTAAAGGAGTCACCTCGTTTCGAGCTGTAGGAGCAGCGAACACGCTTCGGTGAGAAGCGTTTGCCACGCGGTCGCGCTCATGTCGCTGGACGCGATGCGCGAGAAGAGGCTAAAGAGCCAGTAGGTCGGCCACGGCAGCGTCGACGGCGCATCTTCAGGCTGGACAACGTGGCACGTTTCCTTGGGACTTGGGCTCGGACCGGCCATGGCAGTAAACAGCGCGCACAAGGCCGGGCACGGCTTCTCAAAGAGGATGCGGACAATGCTGCGGACATCGGCTTCGTCGCCAGGCTCGCAGGTCGCGAGCCATTCCAAACAGAGTGGCCAGAGCGCGACCGCCGCATCGCTTGACCCGTGCGTCGTGTAGAAGAGAGCGCATGCGACACCAATGGACCGGTGCGGCGCCAATTGGGTCAGGAAGGCAGGCTGCATTGCACTGGCCAGCGCCGCCAACGACACTAAACGCAACACATCATGCCCGGTTCGTCGCCAGGATGATGCGAGGATACCTGGCGGAAGCTGCTTGGCCGGCGCGGCGGTCAGCTCTGTAAAATACGTCAAGAGGTCCGGCAGCCACTACATTCGCAAGTCAGTCGTGCGCCGTGGGCCATATACTTGTACCTCAAGACCTGTTGACGACGCCAGCACAGTGTCGTAGAGCGTTGAGAGCACAGGCGTTACCCGGACATACGGGTCGACGTCGAGGATCGTCGTGTTGAATTGCACGATAGGCCACGCGGCAGCAAGGAATCGGACGGCGGCAGCGACCATGGGCGACGCGACCAGCGCCGATTGCTGCGCGACGAGATCGGTGGCCTGCTGCACGAAGAACGGCAGCAGCCGGTAGTACTGCGCGGCCTCGACCCCGTTGCGCACGAGAAGTGCGAGCGCGTCGAGGATCGCACATTGCATCTCGATCGGCCACGGCGAGAGCGTGACGGCGTCCGAGGCGAGCCCCGCGGCCGGGTACCCACACAGCAGCGGGTACAAGTACGCGACGCTGTGCAGATCAATACCGTACGAGAGGCAGACGCTCCAGAGCCGGAGCGCGTCCAGCTATACACGCGCTCAAACATAGAGGCCACTACGACATGGAGGCAGTTGGATTACCTGCAGAGGGAGCAGGCCTGGGTGGCGGATGGCGAGCACGACTTTGGTGGCCGTGAGCAACTGGTCCTGGAGGCACATGGCAGCCAGGGCCGCGTCAGCTTGGCACAAGCGCCGAAGGAGGACCATCGTCTTGCGTCGCATCTATCCCCACGGTCATTAGCATCGCCGCATCAAGAAAGGAGGGATCGTACCGGCAGTGTCGCGAGGACATCGTCGATGCCCTCGTGGCTCAAGAGCTCGAGGAGCACGCTGGTCATGCCCTTGACCTCCAAGAGGTGCGTCGCAGCGCTAAAAAGGGAGTCTGCTACAGCTTTGAGCCCAAGGTCCGCGTGTACCGGCGCGAGTGCATCGCGAGAGCAATGCACAAGTCGAGCACTTGGTCGTGGCTCCGAGTTCCCTGCAGTGACGGCAGCGCCAGCAAGTGGCGCAAGCGGAACGGCAAGTGTGTCTTGAGCAGGGCTTGGATGGCGTCGGCGGCCGCGAGCTCCTTGAGCTCCATCGGTATGTCGTCGGGGTCCTTGTCACCGTCGTCGGCATCGTCACTGTCTTTCTTGGCCGTCGGCTGGAGGTACCGTACGACGTGCAGCTTCCCTACCGCGCACGGTCAGGCACCGACGTTATTAGACCGAGAGTCGCACCATGACGGTCGACTGGCGTCATGGCCACGCTGGTTGGCTGGACGGACAGGACGTCAAACCGCACCAGGGCCGCGTGCAGTGCGTTGATGCCAGCCGTAAGCACCGACTGGTTGGCGTCGTCGAGGGCGTGCCGCAGGGCGAGGGCGATCGGACCCACGGCAACCGCTCTGTCTTCGGACGGCTGTTGCAGGACTTTGCCGAGCACGCTGCAGGCAACGACGCGCTGCGACGCGACCGTCGACCGTGCGAGCAAGAGAAGCTCCTCAATCGTGTACCTAGCACACAGAAACATCATATCCTCGGGCCACCGCGTCCAATACAAACAAACCCGGGGCGGTCTGGGTCGTCGCCGTGGTGGTACAAGCCCGAGTGGGACGGCGGCAAGAGCTCATCTGTGGCAGGCAAAACGAGTCCGTTAAAGTCGACGCGCACCGCCGTCGAGGACGAGGATGACGACGACGACGTGGTCGGTGGCAGCGACGTCATCCATTCGTGCTTGGCTCGCTCTTCGTCCGGAAGGCTTTGCACGGCCGACGCGAGCTCGGCGTCGTTCGAGATGCGAGGCAGCGGTCGCTGCACGTGAGGCGTCGCGGCGACGGGCGGTGCAACGACGGGAGCCGCAACAGGTGCAGCGGCAGGAGCTTTGGCCTTGGCGCGGTTGCGGAACATGGCGAGGACTTCGGGCGACAAGGACGCATGCAGCTCATCCTGCGCCGACTTGATCTCGTCGAGCGACATGTTGGCGATCGCGCTGTCGTTGTCGGCTTGGATGTCGGACGGAATCGCGCTGGACGAACGCAATGGCGGCGCCTGCGCTTTCGCCGCTTCTTGGCGCCGACGGCCAAAGACACTCTGCTTCTTCGTCGACGGAAAGCCTTGTGCGGTTCCGACGATCGTCGTCATCGGGCGCGTGACCGGCGCCGACCGCTCGAGCACCGCTCCGCGCATGACCGACGACGCAAGTGTCGGCGGTGCGTTCGCCGCTGCGGGCGCCGGCTTGGGCTTGGTGTGCAGCTTCACGGACGAGACCTTGCCGCCCTGCATGAACTGCTCCTGCTCCTTGAGGAGGAGCGCGAGCTCCGCGTCCACGTCCATCTCGGCCATCCTGATGGTTGGAGCTGCAATGGTTTTTATTCTCTTGGTTTTTGTATGCTCTGCCTGCGAATTCCGAGGAATCGGTCGCTGCTTCGATGGAAGCGGCTGCCTTCGCACAGGATGGCGCTAGTAGTAGCTCTACCTTGGCATCTACCTTGGCATCTAGCCGAGCTCTCGCCCTCGGCAAGATGGCCATCATCGTGTTCCTACCTCGTCAACGGGGCTCAGCAGCAGCGATGATGTTTCATGACGCTGCCGCTTCCCACGGCTCCTCCTGGGTGTCAAAGGCCGCCGCCAAGGTTTCGCTGATCAAGCATGTCATGTAGAGCAATAATAATGGTCTGGTTGTGTCGTTAGGCCGCTACGCTCGGGTCACGAGGACGCGATCGCGGGCCGCGACATACATATGCATCATGATCGACCGAAGCAGATCTACTTGGCCGGCATCTTCTCGAAGCACTGCTCGATCGTGAAGCCCTTGTCCTGGTGCTTGCTCGTCCAGTGCTCGGTGAGCTGGCGCGCCTACATCATGCCTGTGAGCTACCTGTTATCGATCGCATCGATGGCGTACGCTGGCGTTGACCATGAAGGTCGTCATGCAGATCTTGCACTTGATGGCCGTGCGGTCGGCCTCCATCTTGGCCTTCATCTCCGGGCGGTTGGCAGCCTTGGCGTCCTTGGCCTTCTTGGCGTTGTTGCGATCACGCGCCTGCGCACTCTTCTGACCGTTGCCGCCACCCATCTTGCTGCTGCTGCTTCTTGGACGAAATCAAAAACTGAATTTCGCCAGCATGACTGGGCCGTCCGGATACCACACACCACGCGATCGTATCCGGATTTGGACGCTGCATAGACCATGCGCCGAACCAACGATGCAGCAGGGCGTGGCAGAGGCCGCGAGGACGAGGGCAGCTGGTGCACCCCTTGTTCTTTTGTCATGCAGCGACCGCCAGAGTGACCACAGCGATGTTGGGCAGGTGCCAACGATCTTCCCGTCGCTGCAGTACCCTTGGTAGACTGTGATGTCCTGGACCTCGACTCTTCAGTAGAGTACTAACGCTGATGCTTGCACATACAGTACAAAAGCTGTGCAAGACAGGATCTTGTCACGGGATCCTGTGTCGCTTCCGTGGAGGCGACGTGGTATTTGCACCGAAACACGCATCAGGATCGACCCCAAAGTTGCGTGCGTTCAGTCATTTTCTATCCTCGAGGCTGTCGCGTCGCCACGTCATCGTGTCGACACCCACAGTGCTTTCTGTTGTGAAAAGGCCAGGAAACAAATTTTTCCAACCCTGGAAGCTGCCATGCCCGCGCGTCCGTGTATCATCCATCGAAGCGTTCGCACCGGCAGCGACGCTCCTGCCAACAACGCGCTCCCGTCGATCTCTTTGAGGCGCTCGGTATCCTCTACGTTCTCGGGTCGATGG